CTCTTTCCCTTCTTCCCCTTCCTCTTTCCCTTCTTCCCCTTCCTCTTCTAATTCCTCTAAGGCCTAAGAACTTTAAACTTCATTTTCTAGCCAGTGAGAAGTAATTGACACTTAGAGTGGGGAAGAATTGGAAGGGTTTGTCATAATCCAATTTGTATTGTAGAGGAAACACAATATTATGCCTAATAGTTAGTCATGGATAAGAACTGATGCCATCCCCATCCTATCTGTACCAATAACCCATTGGGAATTATTTGGCCACGTGGCTCCTTCTGAATGAGCACCTGCAGATGGGAGCCCAGGAATGGTTTAGCCACTGCCCAAGGAGAGTCACCATCATCATATCATGCCAGCCCATTCTTCCCTAAGGAGAACGCTCAGTCACTAAGGTTAGAACATACTAGATATCGATATTGGGTATATATCTCCTTCTTCTTTGGTGCACCCTCCAAAATGGACTCTTTTCTCCTTTCGGGTCTACAGGTTGAGGATACAAATTGATCAGTCCATGTGGGTGAGTTAGGAAGGGTTAGGATAAATACTTCCTTTCCCTTTGCCCTGTATTCCTGGCTATTTTAAGGGCTATCTGAAAGGGAATTAGAGATGCCATGGTTCTCTGTCAGGATTCTGGAGTCCTAAGAGTCCAAACACACAAGCAGTTGAAGTTCAATCAGCCACAGCAATACACATGCTTTTGAAATTTCCTACAGTACTTCACCCCTACAGGAAAGGAATTCACAGAAACACCAAGCCTTGAGTCAGTATGATTTATTAGTTTCTCTTCTGCCATAACATTGTAGCTACTGGGTAAGTTGTTCTCCATCCCTGGGATCTCATGGTTGGGAGGAGAGGTCTGGGTTCCCTCCCACAAAGCTCTCAATGATAGAATAGAAGCACAGCTGCCTCAGTTATCTCCCGGCTGCTGCTGTAACCAACATGAGTTCCATATCCACTCCCATCAAAACCAGAAAAATCTCCACACTGCCGGGGACTAGCCTCTGGAAAGTATCCTCCTCCACCAATGCAGTGCTGGGAAACAAAGAGAGGAAGGGGCAGTAATGAGAGATCTGCCGGTGAGGCCAATGCCATCTTAACAGCCGAATCCAGTCATTTCTGTGGTCCTCATCAGACTCTCCATTGACAGTGTTGATCTATCCTTCCCATAAAAATCTCTCTCTCTTCCTTGGCTCACCTATAATCCCGGCAGTTTGGGAGGCCGAAGAAGGTGGATCACTTGAGGCCAGGAGTTCAAGACCAGCCTGGCCAACATGATGAAACCCTGTCTCCACAAAAAATACAAAAATTAGCTGGGTGTGGGCCAGGCGTGGTGGCTCACACCTGTAATCCCAGCATTTTGGGAGGCCGAGGTGGGTGGATCAGGAAATCGAGACCATCCTATCTCTACTAAAAATACAAAAAAAAAATTAGCTGGGTGTGCTGGCAGGTGCCTGTAGTTCCAGCTATTTGGGAGGCTGAGGCAAGAGAATGGCATCAACCCGGGAGGCGGAGCTTGCTGTGAGCCAAGATTGTGCCACTGCACTCCAGCCTGGGTGACAGAACGAGACTCCTCTCAAAAAAAAAATTAGCTGGGTGAGGTGACAGGCACCTGTAGTCCCACTACTCAGGAGGCTGAGGCAGGAGAATTGCTGGAACTCGGGAGGTGGAGGTTGCAGTGAGCCTAGATAGCACCATTGCACTGCAGCCTGGGTGACGATCCTGTCTCAAAAGAAAAAAAAAAGAAAACTCTCTTCCTTTAGCTTTAGTGACATTATTGTCTTGATTTTCTTTCAACTTTTCTAAACACTCATGCTCAGAGCCCCTGTCTGTACTTTTCTTTCATAAATCCTCTAAGCACTGCTTCCTAGTGGAGGACCCATCTCCCTCTCGCTTATAAATTGCATGACCACTGTGGCCTCAATTACTAAAAATTCACTGATGGCCCCAAAATCTCCATCTCCTGTCGAGATACGTCTTGTGCTGAAGACCTCAAAATCCAGCTTGGATATCTACACAGGCATCTCAAGCCCAAAATGACCAAAACAAAGTTAATTATATCCCTCATTGACCCAGAACCTATTCATCATCCAGACACTCTGACTTCATAAATGACACTCAGCCAAATGAGAACCACGTTATTCTAGACTTCCCTGCTCATCCTCTGTATTCAACTGGTGATATGGTTTGGACTTGGGTCCCCGCAAAATCTCATGTCAAATTGTAATCCCCAGTGTTGGGGGTGGGGCCTTGTGGGAGGTGATTGGATCATTGGGGTGATTTCACATGAATGATTTTAGCACCAGCCCTTTGACGCTGTCCTCATGATAGTGAGTGACTTCTCACGAGATCTGGACATTTAAAAGTGTGTAGCACCAGCTGGGCGTGGAGGTTCATGCCTGTAATCCTAGCACTATGGGATGCTGAGGAAGGCAGATCACTTGAGGTCAAGAGTTCGAGACCAGCCTGACCAACATGGAGAAACCCCATCTCTACTAAAAATACAAAATTAGCCCAGTGTGGTGGCTCATGCCTGTAAACCCAGCTACCTGGGAGACTCAGGCAAGAGAATCGCTTGAACCCGGGAGGCAGAGGTGGTGGCGAGCCTAGATCGTGCCATTGCACTTCAGCCTGGGCAATAAGAGCAAAACTCTGTCTCAAAAAAAAAAAAAAAAAAAAAAAAGTGTGTAGCACATCCCCTGCCCTCACTCCTGCTCCTGCCACAGGAGACACCTCACTCCATCTTTGCCTTCTGCCATGTTTGGAAGCCTCCTGAGACTTCCCTAGAAGCAGAAGCCACTATATTTACAGTACAGCCTGCAGAACCATGAGCCAATTGAACCTCGTTTCTTTATAAATTATCCTGTCTCAGATACTTCTTTTTCTTTTCTTTTCTCTCTCTCTCTCTCTTTTTTTTTTTTTTTAGACAGGGTCTCACTCTGTCACCCAGGCTGGAGTACAGTGGTGTGATCTTGGCTCACTGCAACCTCCACCTCCCAGGCTTAGGCGGATCCTCCCACCTCAGCCTCCCAAGTAGCTGAGACCACAGGCATGCACCACCACACTTGACTAATTTTTGTATTTTTTGTAGAGACAAGGCTTTGCCATGTTTCCCAGGCTGGTCTCAAACTCCTGAACTCAAGAGATCCACCTGCCTTGCCTCCCAAAGTACTGGGATTATAGGCGTGAGCCACCATGCCTGGCCAGTATTTCTTTATAGCAGTGAGAGAATGGACTAATACAACTGGTATTCCATTTAAAATCACTGGAATTTATCAATCCCACCATTCGGGATTCCTGAACCTTAACATTTCAACCACACAAGGGATGGCCTGAGTGAGGTTTCTAGAAGGTGATGTCCAGGACTGTCCCAGCAACTCCCCAGTGCAGTGTGTATCTAGGCAAACCATGGCTAGGGTTGGGGAGGCCCAGGTTTTCTCTGAAATATAAATCTCAGATGAAGAAAAATAACACCTGTGTTTCGCAAGGAATCTCAGCTCTAAAGACTACTACAGAATGTTTCCGCACACAAACCTCACCCCACCTCCAAGCGATTAAGTGTTTTCTCACAAAGCCTGAGCACCCAGCAATGGTTCTTTGAAGCCTCACTCCTTGATTTTGGTCAAGGGACAGGATGTGTACACCTGGACAAAGGGCCCCACAGCCCTGGCCCCTGAAGCCCAGCAATGAGCAAGAGAATGTCACACAACCACACACATACACACATACACCAGTCATACCACACTCAACACACACACACATACCAACACACACTGACGAACGCGACCTTACTCACAGGTTCTTGTGGTCCCCACAGAGACTCACGTGTTCAGTGTTACATCCAGTGACCTTCATTCCAGCACACAAGGCATTGGCTGCTCTCTCATTGTTAAATACCCTGAACTGAACAAATCCCGCAGTGAACTCCCCTGAAAACAAGAGGCACAAAACAGCATTCAAGGAAGATGCTAGAAATCACTTTTGTTAGGCCAGCCCTGAGATTCTCGATGCCAAAGCTCAGGCTACAGCCCAACACTCCAGCCGTACTGGTGGAGCCCAGCACCTCTGTGGCCAATGGCTGGTGCATCCTGGCCTCAAACTTAGCTAAGAGGAAACTTTTCCCAACCCCAGAGAGCAAGAGCTGGTCCTCAGAGAGGGTTCCTCATCTGCCAGAGGCTTGTGAAGAGAAATTCAACTCTGCGGGAAGATCACCACCGAACATCTACAAGAACTGAGTTTCAGCAGTTAACAGATGTATTCACTCTGTTCCTATTTACATTTTTCTTTTCTCCTTTGTTTTAAACTCTCGACTCCCAAATGTAAACAATAACAGCTTTGAGTTCTATAATATATGCTCAGGCTCTGTGAAGCAAACTATACTACCAACTTTGGCTTCACACAAAATAAACTCACAATAGAAAAAAAAAGTCCTGCCATTTTTTTGGTTGTTCTATACACATGGCCTGGCCTGGTCCTAACAAGCTCCTGCGGGGCTGAGAGTGGGTTGTTAGGAGTGAAGAGTCTGGAGTCTGCAGCCTGGCCGGGCACGGTGGCTCACACCTGTAATTCCAACACTTTGGGAGGCCAAAGCAGGTGGATCGCCTAAGGTTGGGAGTTGGAGACCAGCCTGGTCAGCATGGTGAAACCCCATCTCTACTAAAAATACAAAAATTAGCCAGGCATAGTGGCAGGCACCTGTAATCCCAGCTACTTGGGAGGCTGAGACAGGAAAATCATTTGAACCTGGGAGGCACAGGTTGTGGTGAGCCAAAACTGCACAATTGCACTCCAGCCTGGGCAACAAGAGTGAAACTCCATCTCAAGAAAAAAAAAAGTCTGGAGCCAAATTTCTCACCCTAATTGATAACTCTTCCACATATGCCTTGTGATCTTGGCAAGATTCTAAATCTCTCAGTGCTTCAGTTTCCTAAAATGACGTTAATAATAGTTCAGATCTCAAAGGCAGCCATGCAAAACAAGTGAGGCAACACAGGGAACATTACAGAAGAGAACCAGGCCTCAGTCAGAGGCATAACTGTTACCTAGCACAGTTGAATGTATTCCCTTTCCTACTAAGAGTTCAGAGGATCATCAAAGACTCACGCTGGCCATAGGGTGAATAATAAGATGCTGTTTTCTGGGCATCACCAAAATCATAGACCACAGGGATCGCCGGGCCGTTGTCAGTAATACACTGTCCTACTCCATATTTCACTGGGAATTTCTATAAAGAAAGAAAAAGTCATGGACTAAAGACAACAGATTTGCCATTACCAGCATCTCCTGGGATGCTGCCATTCGTAGAAGGGAAACAATGCTTTCTCAGTAACTGAGATTACTTCAAAACCAGTCAAAATAAGAATCTTTCCCTGGTACTGCTGCCAGTTACTCAGGAGCTGTGATTCTGCGGCAGCCCAGACCACTTCATTCTCTCTCTCCTTCTCCCCAGCCCACCCACACTCTTCCTGCCCCCGCTGTCCTCTCCCATAGGTCTTTAATTATTATTATTATTATTATTATTATTATTATTATACTCTAGGTTCTAGGGTACATGTGCACAATGTGCAGGTTGGTTACATAGGTAGACATGTGTCATGTCGGTTTGCTGCACCCATTAACCCGTCATTTCCATTAGGTATTTCTTCTAATGCTATCCCTCCCCCAGGCCCCCACTCCTCCCATAGATCTTTTCTCTTGCCTGGCTCAGAATTCCTAAGAAAAGCAACAGAAGCCATTAGCAAATACAGGTTAGAAGAACATGGGAGACAGGCCCATTGAAAAATGATTCCTGCCCAACCTCTAACACTTGCTTTCTGAACACCCATGAAAACCAGTCCCAGCCAGCAGCCCTCTGTACCTGGTAGATGCCAAACAGATTATGTCCCAGTGTCTGGAGGAAGCCAGTGTCAGTGTGGTACCTCAGCAGGGAGCTGTTTCTCCAATGCTGCATGGGGGATTTGTTGGGCACATGCCAGATGCCCAGGTCCTTGGCCTGGATGTCATAGTAGCCGGGGTTCTGGAAAGCAACAGACACTGAGCCTGACTGGGCCAGGAGGTCCCAGGAGGTAGAAGGTCCACACATGCAGCCTCGGCTGGACTGAGAGCTCTGGACTCCAGGTGAGCAGATGGCCAGCCACACTCAGACACCCCACTCCCAGCAGATGATCCCACCACACCCAGGGCCCTAACGGCCTTGTTAGGAGGAAGTTGTGATTCTACATGTAAGTTGGCTGGGCGTGGTGGCTCATGCCTGTAATCCCAGCACTTTTGGAGACCAAGGTGGGCAGATCACTTGAGGTCAGGAATTCGAGACGAGCCCAGCCAACATGGAGAAAACTTGTCTCTACTAAAAGTACAAAACTTAGCCAAGTGTGGTAGTGAGCACTTATAATCCCAGCTACTTTTGAAGCAGAGGATCACTTGAACCCAGGAGGCAGTGGTTGCTATGAGCCAAGATCACACCATTGCACTCCAACCTGGGCAACAGAGTGAAACTCCGTCTCAAGAAAAGAAAAAAAAAGTGCAAGTATTTCTCTCTTCTTCTTCAGCCCTTCCCCACATCCCCACCTTCCAGCCCTCCCCCCTGCAGGCTTGTGGTCAGCCACACTCCACTCCTCACCCTCACCCTAGTGGGTGGGAAGTGGCACCAACCTTGTAGTCATCACTTGTGGCTGCCTCTGCAGACCCAAAGGTGTTGTAGTTGGCCCAGTTGCCGTCCCCCTCTGGGTAGTCTGCTTTGCTGCCCTGCTGACTGGACCAGTGATCACCCACCGTACACTTCCCATGCATGTCATTCTCGTGCACGCTGGCCACCAGGGTCCAGCCACCACCCCCAGAGGTCATGTCACAGAAGGTCTGGTAGATAACACCATTCTCAGTGCGGAGAAAATACAGGCCATCTGTAGAGAGAATCAGCCCAGAGCCTCACTGTCTGAGAGCTGAGGGTTCAGCTCAGCCCCATGACAAGAAAGGCCCTAGAAACCAGAAACATGGCCTAAAGGCTCCTGTCCTGAGTCACATCACTCAGTGCTCCCAGGGCTACTGGGGCCTCCCTGAGTTCAGAAGATCATGTTCCTGTAACTGAGGCAGAACATAGAATTGTATAAAATCCCAGTGACATTTTTCATAAAGTTAAACATGGAATTATCATATGACCCAGCAATTCCAGTGCAGTTCTGTCCCCAAAACAGTTGAAAACAGGGTCTCAAGCTGATGCTTTTGCACCAGTGTTTATCGCAGCATTAGTCACAAGAGTCAAACAGAAGAAACAATTCAAATATTCACCAACAGGTGAATGAATAAACAAAACATGGTGTGTGTGCATATATGTATCAACAATGGATAAAAGGGAATGAAATACTACAACATGGACAAACCCTCAAAACACTGTGCTAAATGAAATAAGTCAGACATCAAAGGACAAATACTGTATGACTCCAATTACATGAGGTAACTACACTAGGCAAATTCATACAGACAGAAAGTAGAATGCAGCTACCAGAGACTGAGGGAAGGGAGTTATTGCTTAATAACTCCATGTTATTTTTTGTTTTGTTTTGTTGTTGTTTTTGCTTTTGAGATGGAGCCTCACTCTGTTGCCCAGGCTGGTGTGCAGTAGCACCATCTCGGCTCACTGCCACCTCTGCCTCCTGAGTTCACGCGATCCTCCCACTTCAGCCTCCCAAGTAGCTGGAATTACAAGTGTGCACCACCACACCCACCTGCCACAGCCTCGTAAAGTGCTGGGCGAGCACTTTACAGCTGTGAGCCACCGCATCCGGCCCCTCCTAGTTATTAAGTACAGAGTTTCTGTTTGTGGTAATAAAAAAGTTCTGCATATGGATAGCAGTGATGGTTGCACAACCTTGAAGGTAACGAATGCCACTGAATTGCACACTTACTATTGCTTAAAATGGCAAATATTATGCAAATTGTAATATGTGTACATATACTTTACCACAATTTTTTTAACTAAAAGACAAAATGACTCCCAGAAGACACAATCCTGATACCCTCACTGAGCTCTGTTTGAGTGTTTATCACTCACCACATGCACTAGGGCACTTGTCTTTGATTTCCTTGCAGGTTCTGGGCAGAGATGAAGACGAAGAACAGGTCCATTCCTTGGAGTAAGTGTTAGCCTCATCTACGGAATATAGAGAGTTTGATTCTCATTCCTGGTCTGACACAAAACCTAGCCTCTCCTTTCAGCAGTCACACTCATTCCACCACTGTAACAGAACCTCAATGCCAGGGTGGTAAGGCCTGAGACAGCCAGTGTCACACCCACTCAGCCCATCAGCGTCACATCCACTCAACCCATCAGCGTCACATCCACTCAGCCCGTCCGATGCGACAGCCAGCACAGGCTTAATGTGGGCCTCCCGCCACATGACCTGACCTTGTGCTGGGTCCTGCCTGCCCTAAGCACTGAGTAATCAAAGACATTAAACTTCCCCAGCAAGAGCTTGCCTCTAGAGGGAATTGCTGACAAGTCAACAGAAAATTGGATTGAGAAGAATAAATGGTAGAAGAAAGACAAACTCAAGAGAACGAAAGAAAGACTCTGAGGTAAGAATGGAGAATGGAAAGGCCAGACAGCGAGCAGGGCAGTTGCCTGGGAGAAGGAGGCAAGAGGGGTTGTCTCATGTCTTAGTCACAGAAGACCTTCAGTCCAGGTGACATCGTAGCTTCTTCTGAGAGAATAAACATGATTTATCAGTAGGAAGAGAATCCAAGGCAGGGAAAACAGCATATCCACAGGCCTAGAGAAAAAAAAAAAAAAAAGATACAGCGTGGCCCAGCTGTAGAACTACAAACTGCTTAATATGGGTGAAACATGGGGTGTGAAGTAGGGAGCAGTGAGACTAATCTCTACTCCAAAAAGTGCAAACTATTCGAACAGTCTAGGGGAAAAGCTTTGAGGTCAGAGGTGACTGATCTCAGTTTTCTCATACCTAACACACCGTTAATAAACAGTGATTTTGCAAAGATGAAGAAGATATTTTGAAACAGCCTTTTCTTTAAAAAAAAAAATTTACACAGTGAAGGAAAATACAAATTTTTAAATGTCATTGTTATTCTCGTTGCAGAGAGGAAGACTGTGAAGAGAATGTTCTCCAGGCACAAAGCAGACCACGTAGTTCCCATGGAAATCCCACAGCCAAGACCACAGGAGTGGGCAGTGACTGGGAGGTGGCACAGTTCTTACCACAGCCCCCTCAGGGCCACACAAAAGCACAGAGCCTGGACCCAGGACATGCCTCAAGCAACACGCTCACTGCCACAGGCCAGATCCCACCAGAGACCAGAAATCAGCACTCAGTCTACATGCAAGCCGGCCTCTGTGCACCTCAAAGACATGCTCTGTGTCCTGGGAGAGACCAGGATCCCAGGAGCCACCCAGCTGAAGGAACTCTGTCCCTAGCAGCGTGACTCACCTGTAATCCACCCTCTGGTGGCCGCAATGAGAAAAAGCAGGAAGCTGAGTTGGTTCATCGTAATCTAAAGAAAGCAAGATGAAGGTCACTGTCTTGCCCATCATTTTTCTCTACATCCCTGTCCCACCCCTGTCCAGTCCTACAAAGACTCCAAAAGCCCTTGCCTTTTGTTTAAACCTCACACAGCTCTGAGACCAAAAGCAGACGTAAGCTGAAAACAGGGTTCCCCCAACTGACAGACCTTGTCGGAGTCTCAGCTGCACTTTACTTGGTTACAGAGAGCTCCTTCACTCCCTCTCTACACTGCAGCCTGGAGCTTAACAGAGTGCAGCTTTCTCCAAAAACACTCCTGATGTGGAATGAGGGGCTGAAACCTTTATGGAGAAAGCCTAGCAGGGTCAAACCCAGGTTTCCAGCCTCACCCTCCCCTGGCACAATGCCCAGTGCTGGGGAAGTTTCTGTTATCTCAGGGAGGTAATTTACACAGTGGAATTAACGGGTTCTGAAGAAAAAAAACCAATCCTAAATATCGCCTACTAGCATTGTTCCCGGATCTGGGGGTTTCATGAACCTGTGTCAAAGTCCATGAAAACAAAACGAGTAGACGAAGAGACTAACAAGAGTTGGCATTGATTTTGGGTTTTTGTGCCTTTCTTTTGTGCAAAATAAAAACTTTCTCTAAATTAAGCTTCTGCTGGCTTGGCACATTGGCTCAAATCCCAATGCTTTGGGAGGCCAAGGCAGGAGGATCACTTTGAACTCAGGAGTTTGAGACCAGCCTGGGCAACATAGGGCAACCACTTCTCTACTAAAAATAAAAATTAAAAAATTAGCATGGCATGGTGGCACTTGCCTGTAGTCTCAGGCGGGGCTGAGGCAAGGCGGGAGGGTTCTTGAGCCCCGGAGATAGAAGATTCAGTGAATTATGATCATGCCACTGTACTCCAGCTTAGGTAACAGAGCAAGACCGTATCTCTAAATAAATAAATAAATAAATAAAATGAAATCAAACATTGGCCATACTTATCATTTCATAGAAATAGAAAAAGGAAATTTTAACAAGATGGGAAACTGATCATTTCTGAATAATGTGGTAAAAAGGAATAGAGGGGAAAGAGATACAAAACACACCAAAAAAAGAATAAAAGATTTTTTTAAAATGTGTAAATCTTTAGTTTGAATAAATTTAGCTTCACACAAAGACTCACTACTTTGTCTTTAATTTTGTCATTTTGCCACAAACTAGGGAAAATTTACTACAGACTTCATTTGAAACTGAATCAATATGAAACCTCTCTGATGCTTCGAACCTCCTGTCTTATTCCTGTTCCTATGTCATGAAGTTCTCAAATGCCACCCTGCAGCTATAATAGAATTGCTCAGTTCTTCCCCAGTAATATCATACACCTAATACATAATGTCATTATAGCATTAATAATACTGCAATCTTTTGTTACGAAGATTGTGAATATCTTTTTTGTTAAGCTAATATTTACTATTTGTTGGTTCAAAGTACTGATTTGCACAAAATACTCATATATTGATAGAAGAAAATAAAATAGCGCCCAAGAAGAAAAACTGCAAAAAAAGTTATACTTTTGTAAATTTAAAATCTATTAGAAGCTATTTGCTCTGTGTATGCAGAAAATGATTAATTATCTTAGAAATAGAGGTCTCACCAGGCACGATGGCTTACGCCTGTAATCCCAGCACTTTGGGAGGCCGAGGTGGGTGGATCACTTGAGGTCAGGAGTTCAAGACCAGCCTGATCAATATGGTGAAACCCTGTCTCTACTAAAAATATAAAATTATCTGGGTGTGGTGGCAGGTGCCTGTGATCCCAGCTACTCGGGAGTCTGAGGCAGGAGAATCGCTTGAACCCGGGAGGCAGAGGTTGCAGTGAGCCGAGATCGCACCACTACACTCCAGCCTGGGAAATAAGAGTGAAACTCCGTCTAAAATAAATAAATAAATAAATAAAGTCTCTAAATTTACAGTTTACAGTAGTAAATACGCATATATAAAGTTAACAACAAGGGCTCAAGATCTAGAGAAAAAATTCACCACCCCCTCAGTTGTTCATTACTGTGTAACTAACCACCTGAAAACCTAATGGCTTAATTAATAAAACAGTAACATATTTGCAAAAAAAAAAAAAAAGAAAAAAAGAAAATTTATAGTTCTGGTAATTTCTTTAGTTGATCCTAAGACACTTTTTTGGTATTTTGACATCTTTAATATCATTATGCATCTCATCCTTAGTGGTACATGATGCCATCTAATAGACTGGGAAAACGGTACATCTATTTTAGGGACATTACCCCTTCTAACCATCATCATCCAGTCAGTGATTGCATCTCATTGATTCTGCCCCTACTTTCTCTTGAATCTGTTCCCCACACAACTTCCTCTAAACCCCACTGCCCTGGACATTGATTTAGTTTAGTCTGGTTCTTTTTAGCTGTAACTAATAGAAACCCCATCTCAAAGTGGCTTTTCTAAAAAGTAAATCTATTACTTCAGGAAATAGAAAATTGAGAGAGAGGGCAATATCCAGTCTTGCTTGACAGCAGCTTCTCTTTATTTTATGTATTTATTTATGTTGAGACAGGGTCTCATTCTACTGCCCAGGCTGGATGGAGTGCAGTGGCACAATCTCAGCTTACTGCAACCTCAACCTCCTAGGCTTAGGTGATCCTCCCGCCTCAGCCTCCCAAGTACCTGGGACTATAGGCACACACCACCACACCCTGCTAACTTCTGTATTTTTTGTAGAGACGGGTTCTCACCATGTTGGCCTGGCTGGTCTTGAACTCCTGGGCACAAGCAATCCTCCTGCCTCAGCCTCCCAAAGTGCTGGGAGTATAGGTACATATGTGACAGTATGTATGTGCACAAAGATGTAAGCGTGTGGAAGAAAGCCCCTCCCCACCAACTCACTCCAGTTCCACATCTACATCTCCAAGTGACTTGGAGAAGCTTTATTGTAAAATTACACATACAGAAAAAGATATGACATTAAATATGCAGTTTAATGAATTTCAAAAAAGCCAAATAGGATGTGTAATTATCATCCTAGCCCAGAAATGAAACTTTGGCAGCACCCAGAAGCTTTCCATATGCTGCTTCCAGATAACAGAGCTCCTTCCCAAAAAGTAATCACTGGCCTGTAATGGAAAGCAGCACTTCCTTGTGTGCATACCATATGGTTCCAAATATTTTATTTATTTATTTACACATATATATATATATATATATATATTTTTTTTTTTTTTTTTTTTTTTTGAGACAAAGCCGCTCTCTGTCGCCAAGGTTGGAGTGCGACGGCGCGATCTCGGCTCACTACAACCTCCGCTTCCCGGGTTCAAGCGATTCTCCTACCTTAGCCTCCTGAGTAGCTGGGATTACAGGCATGCACTACCACGCCTGGCTAATTTTTGTATTTTTATTAGAGACAGGATTTCATCTTGTTGGTCAGATTGGTCTCAAACACCTGACCTTGTGATCTACCCAACTCAGCCTCCCAAAGTACTGGAATTACAGGTGTGAGCCATCGTGCCTGGCCCAAATATTTTAGATTTATAAAATGTCTTGATATCCAGTAGAGCAAGGCTTCTCACTTTGTTGTTCTTTTTTTGGTTATTCTTGGTCGTTTGCCTCTACACACACACACACACACACACACACACACATAAACATACCCTTTAGAATTTTATTGGAATTACATTGAATCTGTAGATCATTTTAGAAATAATTTATGTCTTTAAAATATTGAGTGTGGCCTGTTTCTTCATTTATTTGTGTTTTTATTGCTTTTTCACATGTAACATCTTCCTTATGTGTCCGGAATTGGTGGGTTCTTGGTCTCACTGACTTCAAGAATGAAGCCACGGACCCTCGCAGTGAGTGTTACAGTTCTTAAAGATGGTGTGTCTGGAGTTTGTTCCTTCAGACGTTCAGATGTGTCTGGAGCTTCTTCCTTCTGGTGGGTTTGTGGTCTTGCTGTCAGGAGTGGAGCTGCAGGCCTTCATGGTGAGTGTTACAGCTCTTAAAGGCAGCACATCTGGAGTTGTTCATTCTTCCCAGTGGGTTGGTGGTCTCATTGGCTTCATGAGTGAAGCTGCAGACCTTTGCTGTGAGTGTTACAGCTCATAAAGGCAGCGTGGACCCAAACAGTGAGCAGCAGCAAGATTTATTGCAAAGAACAAAGAACAAAGCTTCCACAGTGTGGAAGCGGACCCCAGAGGGTTGTCACTGCTGCCTCCAGTGCCCTACTTTTATTCCCTTATCTGACCCCACCCACATCCTGCTGATTGGTCCATTTTACAGAGGGCTGATTGGTCTATTTTACAGAGTGCTGATTGGTGCCTTTACAATCCTTGAGCTAGGTACAGAGTGCTAGACAGAAAAGTTCTCCAAGTTCCCACTAGGTTAGCCAGACACAGAGTTAGCGAGATACAGAGTACCAATTGGTGTATTTACAAACCTTGAACTAGACACAGAATACTGATTGGTGTATTTACCATCCTCTAGCTAGACATAAAAGTTATCCAAATCGCCATTCAGCTCAGGAGCCCAGCTGGCTTCACCTAGTGGATCCCGCACCAGGGCTGCAGGCAGAGCTGCCCTCCAGTCCAGAGCTGGGCCTGCACTCCTCAGCCCTTGGGCTGTCAATGGGACCGGGCGCCACGTAGCAGGGGGCAGCGCCCGTAGGGGAGGCTCAGGCCATGAGGGAGCCCACCGCAGGGCGGTGAGCTCAGACACGGCGGGCTGCAAGTCCCGACCGCTGCCCCGTGGGGAGGCAGCTAAGGCTGGGGTCTGGGGGACCCAGCGCAACCTCCGCAGCTGCTGGTCAGGGTGCTAAGCCCCTCACTGCCCTGGGCCGTGGGACCAGCAGGCCGCTCCGCCTGCAAGGCCTGCCAGAACTCGCACTGGCCAGCTAGCGCTGCGCGCAGCCCCGGTTCCCGCCCACGCCTCTCCCTCCACACCTCACCACAAGCAGAGGCGGCTCCGCCCTCAGCCTGCCCAGAGAAAGGCTCCCACGGTGCCGTGGGAGGCTGAAGGGCTCCTCAAGCACCGCCAGAGTGGACTCCCAGGCCGAGGAGGTGCTGAGAGTGAGAGCTGCTAGCACATTGTCACCTCTCACTTACAGGGATTTTGTGTATTGTTTCTTATTTGTTCCTTAGTGTTTGATTTTTTTTTTTTTTAGACAAGGTCTCACTCTGTCACCCAGGCAAGTGATTCTCCCACCTTAGCCTCCTAAGTAGCTGGGAACACAGGTACATATCACTACGGCCAACTAATTGTTTTATTTTTTGTAGAGATGGGATCTCACTCTGTTGCCCTAGCTGCTCTCCAGCTCCTGGGTTCAAGCAATCCTTACAACCTTGACCTTCCAAAGTGCTGGAATTACAGGCATAAGCCACCACGCTTGGCAGTGTGTGACATTTTTTGATGCTATTATAAATGCTATATTGTTGAAATTTTATTTTCTAATTGCTTGATGCTTATATATAGAAACACCTGATTTCACGAATATATATATCAATGACAGCACAGGAAAGACATAGTCTCAAAATAAACATAAATTTTCAGCTTGAATAAATTTAGTTTTATGAAAAATAATATTTTTTCTTACTTTTCTCATTTTGCTACAAACCAGTGAAAACACTCTTGTGGTGGGGGTTCATTCTAGAGTATCACGGGCCCCCAAACTACATTTTGGAATCACTGATCCACGACAAACTTCCTCTGTTGCTTCAATACCTGCTTTGCCATTCTGTCCCAGTGTCATTCCTCAATTTCCTGAGCATAAATGTCACTTATGCCTCTTCTCCCTCAGTAATGGAATGGATCACTTCCTCCTCAGTGTTGCCACATCCCTTATGCCCATTACTGTCTTAACACAGTAACATGACCTTTTCATCGTTTACATGTTTCTCACTACAGTTCTTAAGAAAAGGTTTATGAGGCACCATATTTGTTAAGCTAATACTTTATTTGTGGAGAGAAAATA